CAGGCGGCCCAGGGCCTGGATTCATTCAACCAACTGGCGCAACGCAACTGTCTGAATTTCCCCGTTGCGGGGTACCCTGAAGAATGAGGCCCGAAGGGCCTGTCGTGCCTGCCTTCACTTAGGGCGGCCGACCTTGTTGCAGATAGGGCCCCCGTAGGGGCTAAGCGCGCATAGCCTCGCACTTGTGACGTCAGTGGGTTTTGTGCTTGGTTAGGCTTATGACTCCCAAGAGCTCATATCCCCGAGTTGATTGGCTGTCTGTGGGTTTAAATTTTCACTATGTGATCTCTCTCTATGGGTTCAAAATTTCAATTTGTGATATCTCTCTATGGGTTTTTGTAACCCCCCCCCCCCCCCCCCCCCCCCCCCCCCCCCAAATGTCAATTTGTGCTCTCTGTGGGTAAAAAATTTCAATTTGTGATCTCTGTGGGTCATAAATTTCAATTTGTGGTCACTGCGGGTTAAACTGGGTTCAAATTCAATTTGTGATCTCTGTGGGTTCAAAATTTCGATTTGTGATCTCTCTGGGTGAAATTTCTGATCTCTCTCTGTGAGGGTTTTTGTATGCCCTTGTGAAATTTCAATTTGCAATCTCTGTGAGCTTAAAATTTCAATTTGTGATCTCTGTGGGGTTTTGTACCCCCTTGCACAACTTCAATTTGTGATCTTTGTGTTTTTTTTTGCACCCTTGTAAAATTTCAATTTTCCATCTCTGCGGGTTTTGTAGTATTTGTAGTATTTTGTAACCTTTTGTAAAAATTCAATATGTGACCTCTGTGGGGTTTTGTACCCCCTCGTAAAATTTCAATTTTTGTGATCTCTCTGGGTTTTGGTACCCTTTGTCTAGATTGGTTTGATGGCCTGGACATCTTCATGAAGTACATTTGTCACAAAAGCTGGCTCGGTGGGTGGATGCTCCCGCAAGAACAGAGTTACTTTGCGCTCAAGCTCCCGCAAGGGTGGTGGATCTTCGGTCTGGACCAATCATTGCTTATGGATATCGATATCTTTCAGTTCAAATACTTCTCCAACATAGCAGACAATGAGGTCTTGTTTTGCACCAAATCCATTTTCCCAAATTAACTTCAAAATTTCAAAATTAGCCAAAAAAAAAGGTGTATATAGAATCATAGAATTCTGAATTTCAAGATTTCTCTTTTTCTTTCTCTCTCTCTTTTTTTTTTTTTCGACTTCCATGATTTGACTGACAGCCACCGATGGAGCAGTTAAGGCGGGGGGCCGTGGATACTTCGGGGCCTCGCTGCACTACTCCCGATTCATCTAAAAAAAACTCTCGAGGGTGCATCGGGAGTTGTTGCCAGACTCTCGATTTCACCCGAAATCAAAGCCTCGCTCCACATACTCTCGGTTAGCCTCACTCTCTAAATACTTCCCCACGTACCCGGTCGGTTTTTTTTTTCGTTTTTTTTTTTTTAAATGCAAAACGATGCTATATTCTTCTCTCAAATCTTTCATCATCATCTTTCAAATTCTTTCAATTCACCTTCACTACCTATCTACCACTACTCCTAAGGCTTATACAGGGGACCAATGCGAACATAGCCTTGTTGTCTCCCTCCAGCCATCAGAGTGATGGCCTTAGACACTGCTGTTATTCCGTTGGAGGTGGGGGACGATGAAAAGGGAGGAGAAGCTACTGGCAAAATGCTCGGTCTTTGCATTAGCCGGACCCCCACCGGCGGCCCCACCCCATCCTTGATCACCATGTTTGGGGCAGCGCATCCCCTCTGATGGCTGCAGGGAGACAACAAAGGTATGTTCGTTCTTTTTCTTTTCTTTTCCCTGTTTGTCAACACACGATGCCGAAAAAGGAAAAAGAAAAAAGAGAGAAGTGACAAAAAAGGAAAAAGGAAAAAGAGAGAAACGAAGTGCTTACTATCGCATGCGCGCACGTGCCGGAGAGAGAGAGAGAGAGAGAGAGAGAGATAGAGAGAGAGAGAGAGAGAGAGAGAGAGGGTGTGNTCCTAATACAGCGCACCCTCATTATGGCTGTATTGTGCCGGAAGGATAGCTTGTGTACGCTCGTTGCATAACCAGTGTACACAGCCTATCCTTCCGGCCCCATACAGCCATAATGAGGGTGTGCTGAGTTTGGGGCCTCTCTCTCGGGGCCCTTGCGAAATTTGCGAGGATGTCCGGTGGTCCGTGGGGGGTTTATCTCCCCGCTGAGTACCCCGGGCTGAGCAGGTATATGGGTCCAAAGGGGATGTAAAAAAGTGGCCTTTGAAGGGCTGTGTAATGGTAGACGGGTTGGGGGAGGCCGTAAGACGTTTTTTTGACTGCACAAAATGGTTTTTTTTTTGGGTCTTTTTGCGAAAGGAATAGGGTGTGTTTTTTTGCTGTCCTTGTTTGCTTGTAGTCGCAGATAGAATACGGATTCATGYAGTACTTGGGTTCTGACTAAAGGCGGGAAAAGATAGCACGGTAGATATTGCGTAGGAAGGCGGAAAGCTTCAATTTGAATCGTGGGGGCAKGCCGAAGGGAGGAGGAGGGGACGACAGGATGACGCAGCGGGATTGATGAGCTATTTCGAGTAAGCTTAGTTAACCCGAGAAAAATGGAGGAACTGGGCGTAGAGAGAATTGTGAGGAACATCCAGTCGATGCGCTGGGGGGATGACAGAGTCGGGACCATATATGGGAGACGACCGGCGGAAGAAGAAGGGTAAGTGACGAACCTTTTCGGGTATCTATGTGAGCGGGATCCGGGGGAAGGGAAATTCTTGGTGTACATCCATTCGAGGAAGGAAACTGCATGGGCGGGGGTGGGCAGAGTCGGATCCATATATGGGAAACACCCGCTGAAGAAGAGGTGGAAGAGGAGTGATGGTAGGAGCGATAGGCGGAGGGTGAAGGGGGAGCAGTCAGCTTGGTGAAAGACAAGTCGAATGGGCAAGATGCAGAAGAGTGGATCGTCAAATACTATGATCAGTACGAGGATACGATTCAGAGCAAGGTGGGCAGGGAGGAGGGTAGGAGGGAGGATAGAGAAAAAAAGAAAAAAAGAAAAAAAGAAGAAAGAAAGAGCGGGAAGTTATTAGGCCTGATTAATGTAGCGCAGGGCGGATCAGTAGTCTGAGAAGTTAGCGAAGAGAAGTACAGTAGGAGGAGTAGATACAACAGGGTGTAGTTGTGGGTAGACACTTAGGTAGGATGCGCGCGGAGAGAGGATATAAGGAGGGGAGGAAGGGCTTACCAGGTATCCCGAGTCTTATATGCTTTTTGGAGTCGTGAGGGAAGCCTCCTGATGAGTCCGCTGTGTACGCCAGCAGCGAAACGCGTAGAGGCACATGCGTACTTGGGTGATCTAACGAGCTATGAACGATAAAGTGGATTTGGGGATATTGGAGTGTTGGGGTGTGGGTGATGCCTTGCTTTGTGTTGCTCTCTATTCTCTTTGAACGTGGTAACCGGGGATGGTGGACATATCGCGGTGGCTACGATGTTTGTCGTGACTGAAGACCTTGGAGCGTGATCGTCTTCGAGGGCTTATGATTGTTTTCGACTTGATGCAACGACGAAGGGGTGCGATGTCCTCTGGTTTGTCAAAGGCGTAACTGGAGACCTAGGAGCGTGATCGTCTTCGAGGGCCTACACAAGTCGACTTCAAACAACGACGAAGGTGCGTGATCATCTCCTCTCGTTTGAGGTCCGCGAGAGCCGGGCCGGTACGGTAAAGTGGGGGTGGACAACGATTAAGAAGGTGGCCATACGTGGCCTTATTATTTTTGTAATCGGCGTAGGTGGAGTCTTAACCTTCCGCGGGTGTGGAGAGAGTAGGTTTGGGAGAGTGTGGAGTCTCGAAGTGCGCATCTCGTTTACAGATAGAAGGGATTAGGGGGATGACTGGCCAAAATTTCAGGGATGAGGAATTCGATAGGTTATGGCAGGACGTTGAAAATCTAGTGTATGATAGGGTAATTCCTATGCTCTTTGTAGCATTAGAATTTTGGAGCGATAGTACGAAGGAGGAGCTACTTAGTGTGATTGAGAGGTTTTTGGTAAGACTATACAATGTGGGTTGCCTAGTGAGAGATAGGAGGAGGAGGAGAAGGGGCCAACGAAGGAGGGCGACACAAAGGGAGGTATAATGCAGAACCAGGGGTTACCGTCAACTTACCGATGATGACGGGAGGCGGGAATGGGATGTCAGTCGCAGGCGGGAATCAAGCGGGTGTAGTGTCATGTTATTTGTGCGGGAAAATCGGGCACTATGCCCAGAACTGCTGGAACGCGGGTAACGAGAGACCATCCGTATCACAACCGCCCGTACAGTCGGGGGTGGTAGATGACGAAACGAAGGAGATTCGGGAGTATTTTCGTGAAAAAATCAAGAAAAGGAAGCTTGAGGAGGAGAGGAGGGAACGTGAAGAAGAGGTGAGACGGCGAAAAGAGGAGGACAATCGGAGGGAGCAGGAGAGGATGAGGGAAGCCGATGCCCGGGAAGCTAGATTGGAAGCGCGACTGATTAGAGTCTTGGCTCAGCATACTAAGGGAAGTGCCCAGCCAGAGAGTTCGGGGGTGAAGAAGAAGTCTCCCAGGACGAAGGCAAGGGTTTTACGCGAGATACGGAGCTACTTGGATGAATCCGATGATGAAAGCGAGGAAGTGAGAGAGGAAGCTGGTAAACTCGTTGAAGCCATTGAGAAGAGGAAAGGGAAGAAGAAGGTGAATGAAGAAGATGGAAGGTTGTCGAGGGTAAGGAGGGGACACCGGGGTGACCCGGTTAGGATCGACGAGGAGGAAGAAATACGAACCCCTCCACCTACGAGGGGAAGAGATGATGATCCGGGGATTTTGGATTTTGCGATAGAGTTGCACAAGCATCTGTCCGAGAAAAAAGTATCGGAGCTACGGAAGTTGTGCAACCGGGAGGGAATTGAATGGTCCAAAAGGGACACCGTAATCGGCGAGTTAGTGAAGTGTAAGGCAAAACTGGCATATCGGGAATTTGCAGAAAGCGGACGGATTTCTCCTTTGTTTGAGAAATAGCCAAGGTAAGTATGGATCGGTTGGAGACACTAATGTTGGGTCGGAGGGAAATGACGAATGGAGGGAAAGGGAGATTGAAGGCTCGGGTAAAGGATCGTATTTTCCGATTATTCCTTCTTTGTGTGATTGATGGAAACTGTCCTTGGGCAAAAAAGTGGGTGGGGCTGGTGAGTGGAAACGATAAGGATTTATCGACCTCGAATCCTGGGGTATATGTGTTGGTGAGCCCATGGTGTTGCCATTTTTATATCGGATGCTTATCACGGGCAGTTATCACTCGGTGGTCGGATCACGTGAGTCAGGTGTTGCATGGGGATATTGGGAATGCGCCGAAGCTGCATGCCTGGCTGCAGATCTTTGGCTGGAAGAAATATTTAGCGATTCCCTTGGTCGAGGGGGTGAAGGATCTGCTCGTGGTAGAATCTAGCCTGATAAAAAGATTCTCCCCGTCGTTGAACACTCAAAGAACGGGTAGGGAGGGAAAAAGTGTGAAAAGAAGGAAGGGAAAAAGAGAAAGGGGTAAGAGGAGATCGAATGTGTTGGGAGGTATAATGATTAGATTCAATGATATGGTGTCAATTGTCGACCTGTTGAAAGAGATGGGTGGAAGGGGAGGTAATCAGCAGATATCCTCGTCAGGGAGAAACATTTGGGTGGATAAGTGGAAGATAGTACGGCGGAAGGTAGGAGAAACCACTCTGTATGTGGGGGGTAGGGAAATTCCTATAAAGAACTGCAAACGAGTGTTGGAAGAAGGGGGGACTTTTCGGGTAGGGAAGGTGAGGATATTACCGTCCGGCATCGAGCATCGAAAGTTCGTGCTGAGAGATGTCCTCCATCAACCTTGGAGAATACGGAATCTCTACAAGAAGGGACCTAGAGAACTCGTTGCGCTGTACCATACGGGGTCGCGATTCACCGAAAAGATGAGTAGGAATCGAATTAAGAATATTGTTACACGGGTTGTGAGGAGCAAGTACGGTATTGAAATAAGGAGAAGACCATGTGTTAAGGTTCCCTTTTCACCTGCAGTA